ATTTCATGATATCCTAAAAGAACTTCAGCCCTGGAAGCACAAGAAGACAGGAAGCTAATGCGACCTAACAAGAGGAAAATTTTGGAAAGGACGAGAGCCTCAGTTTCCCTACATTCAAAGATCCGCCTTGAGCCCTGCCTCCCCCCAGGCCGATCCGCCTTGGCACGGCCTCATCAGTGATGTCAGTCCACACCGTCGGCCCTGCCTCTGCTCTTCCCATACCTGTCACGCTCTCACACCCGCCCTGCCCCGCCCCACCCCAGCCTGTTAGGCAAGGTGTGCCTGTCCCGAGGTGCTGGCAGCAATCACCCCCGACCCTCTTCTTCCTTTCCGACCCGATCTCACTCCCAGCCGTTTCTTCCAGAGACTGAACCTTGGGCCTAGCTGCCTTCACCACTGCCACCCTGGGCCTATGACACTGGTGTTTCCCCTTGGCCGTCCAGGACTTTGATTCTTGTTTGTTTCTGGTGAGTTCGATTGAGCTCATCCCTCTTGCGCTCCATAGCCAATGCTGGCTTAAGGAGCAGAGCTTTCTCACTTCTGGTCCCTGGAAGCTCAACGCCCAACCTGAGCTCTGGACTCCTGCCTCCTCCCCATGGACTCCCAAAGCCCCAGAGCCCCTTTTCTATCAATCCAGTATTAACTTCTCTTCTTCAGATGCCTCAGCGCACCCAGGTCTCCTCCTTCTCCTTCTTCTCTAGTCTCCCTTTTTGCCTTCCCTCCTCCTGCCTCCCTACACTTGTGCTTCTCGCCCTTCCTAAGAGCTATAAGAGTTCCTTGCTTTGAAAAATAGGTATTTTCCCGAGAATTTGAAGGTAATTAAAGCCTGTGACATTTGAAATTTAGTTGTTTAAAATGATGATGATGATGATGATGATGATAACTTCCAATTACTACGTTTTCTACATACGAGGCACTGTAATGAGAACTGAGAACTTTATACACATCAGCTAATTTAATGCTTACAGGAGCCCTTGAGGTAAGTACTATCATTCTGCCCAGTTTATGGTTGAGGAAACTGAGGCTGAGAGAGATGCCATGACTTCCCCAAGGTCACACAACAAGTAGAACTGAGACTCCAACACAGTCCTGCTTAATTCCCAATTCCAACCTTCTTGCCATTACCATAGCACTACTTAAAGGAATCTTAATTTCTCTTGAAAGGAGCAAATTTCTACTATAGAAATAATCCCTCCCCAGCTGCCCACTTTGTAAGGTTAAACTTTTATCTAATGAGCTTCCCTCAGCAAGGCACACCCATCCTCCTTACTGGGTGGGGAAAGGGCCGCCAGGTGAAACCTGCTATTTACTCTCCATCCACTGCTGGTCCCTCGCAGGGTGTGGCCGTGGGTGGGGAGCCGCCCAAACCACCTTTTTACACCTGCTCACCAACAAGTCCTCCCAAGGATGACTCTGGCTACAGATCCTGCCCTCCTGGAAGCCCCACCACAGAGGACAGCAGCAAACACTTGGCTTAGACTGGGATAGAGCTTCCAGTGACATACAACCTCTCCATGCCCTGTGTTCCTAAAAGGAACGGCCAGCTGCAAGTAGAGAAAGGCCATGCACCTCATGAAACTGAGCTGTGAGAGTTCAATCATTCCCTCCCTAAACACATGCAGAGTGTCAATAATGTGCCAGGCAAAGAGCAAGGTATCGGGCTCTCTCTTCCAGGAGGCCATACTTCCATCAGTCAAAGGAATAAAATATTCTATGTGTCCCTGTGGTAGACTGTAGTATAATTTAGCAATTTTCACTCTATCCTCTCATTTCCGCATTCTCTGCTCCCTTAATTTGGGACTCAGGTGTGTCAAATAATTTGGCCAATGGAATGTGAGCAGAAGTGATACTGTGTCATTCTCCATTGAAGCCATTAAGAGGCATTGCGAACTTCTGCTAGCTGTGTTGAAGCCTTGCCCTTCAACATGGGAACATTGCTGGCCAATGAGGGGGTGTTCCTTCAGCCTGGGTTCCAGAATAGCAAATGATATGGGGGTGGCCCTAAGCCACAGCACCAACTCATAACCACTGAAAAACTATGTGAATAAACAATGAATATTTTTGTTATGGCAGGCCATTCAGACTTTGCAGTTGTGTGTTATATAGCACTGTCACGATAAAACTGACTAATCCAGCCAAGCCCGTACAGAGCTATATTCCAAACCTCCCCTCTGCTGTTTTTCTTGCTCTTCGAATTGAAATGTATGTTATGCTGCAGGTGATGAGTCTCACAGATCCATCCTCGGCATTTACACAACGACTAGTCGGGTGGAGGAAGCTGTCTGAGCAGAGCTCACTGACCTACATGTCATAAAGATGCCTGCAGCCACCCCAGACCCCTGACAACAGCCCTGCTGCAGAAAATGTCGTTAGTCCCTGCTACCCACAGACACCTATTTTCTGTTGTTCATTATCGATTTCTAAAGCGAACGGGGCCACGTCGATGCTATTTTAACAACAGCATTTGTTTAGATACTCTGGAGGCTCCAGTCAGTTTGATGTTTGTAACCCAAGACCACAGCTAGTCAGGAAGACTTGAAAACTGGGACAGTGGCTTTTGAGGCCTCTTCAGTCACCATCTGGTGCACTGTAGGTGTTTAATCATGTTCTTTTCACTTTCTTTAGTTTGTCAAGTACTTAGCAATATTTGTTGAACACATTCTGTATACTTGGCACTGGAATACAAAGGGGAGAAGGCGGGGTTCCTGCTGTCAACTCACGGGCTTGCCATCTCCCAGAAAGGGCAAGATGAGAGCTTGCATAACCATGATTCAAGACAACACATGTGAAACATTTTCGGGGAAGTGTCAAAAATTTGCTCGGGGTGCATTCAAACAAGAGAAGGATTGTATCCAATCAGAGGGGGTCAAGAAAAGAGAGTGTTTCCATCTGAATGGAACAGACTATGAACTATGGAGAGATATAATGGAAAGATTAGTAGAGGCCACACTGGGGACAGCTTCCAAGACCAAGTTGGTGGCCAAGCGTTGTCAAACTCAAGAATGACCAAACACCTCATGAAATCTGTCACATCCCTTGTGACCACACCCTTCGCTGGGCCCAGACTTTGAATTGTTCTGAGAATTTCAAGTTACTAACAGCCTACACCTCTAAAACAACTAGAGGTAAAATAAGCTGGTGTCATGCCCTGGCTGGAGGTGTGGCTCAGTGGATTGAGTGCCTGCCTGTGAACCAAAGGGTCGCTGGTTCGATTGCCAGTCAGGGCCCATGCCTGAAGCCAGGTTCCCAGCAGGGGTGCAGGAGAGGCAACCACACATTGACATTTCTCTCCTTCTCCTTCCCCATCCCTTCCCCTCTTTAATAAAAAATTTTAAAAAAATTTTTAAAAAGATGCTGGTGTCAAGTAACTGCCAGCAAGATGGTTTCCATGACTATAGCCAAGATAGCACACTACAAGCAGACTGTGCGCTGGAGAGAGAGAAGAAAGGACTAGGAAGCATTCTCGCATTCTAGCCGGCTGTCAGTGTGGCTGGGAGAACAGGTAGGAGCCGTGCAGTGGATGTCTGGAAAGTCACTGCCGACAGGGACAGTGGTGATGGCGACGGGGGCCTGGCCTCTCTCTCCAGGAAGTAGCTTCCCTGAAGGAGGGCTGCTTACAGTGGGCAGGGCTCGGCACACCATGCCCTCCGCCTCCCCCACCCCTCTTCCCCTGGGCTGCACCTGGCTTCTGGCCTCACCTGCCCCACCTAGTTACACCCATGATTCCATCTGGCCAGAGAACGAGTCACTATTAGGCAATTACAAAGCAAAACAAAGTTCAAGTACTGCCAGGTTCCAGGTGAACTCAGCGGTGCTCCTCCAGTGCCGTCTGTGTGCCTGCAGCTTTCTGCTCCCACACCCTATCGAAACGACCAGTGCACGGGCCCAGCTGCCCAGTGGGCCATAAATGGCACGCAGACCAGGCCACGCCATGTCTTTTCACCTTGGTGTCCACTGCCTAGTCCCTAGATGGCGCACACTCAATAATAGCAATAGGGCCTCCGTGTATGAAATGCTTTCTCTTCACCTGCACTTGATATATTCTCTCACTGAATCCTTGCAACAACCCAACCCTACGGGTAGGCATTATTATCCCCCTTTTACAAACAAGGAACTCAAAATTTTGAAAGGTTAATTCCCGCAAGGTTGTGCAGCTAGGAAGTGGAGGAGCTGATGTCTACCAGCGTGCAAGACCCTTCTTGTAGAAGCAGGTTTGTATGCGGTGGAGGGAACTGACAGCCAGGTTTCCAGAGTCACCAGACTGAGAATGTCCTCACTAGATCTGCCATTTGGGAGAAAGGTTCCTTCGAGGGGTTGATACTTGGGAAATTCACCCCAGGCCGGTGTTCAGCTGAGACACACAGGGCCTTTGTTTATTGTCTTATAACTCTGTTTGAAACTGAATGGGGCTCTCTAGAGCTGGGTTGTAGGGAACTCACAGGAGTTACTCTGTCCTTTTCTCACCAGGGTCACCCATGCCAGACCAGGAAAGAGTTTCCCCGAGACAGCCAAGGGCAAGGGCTGTACCGGTGACAGTGACTCACAGACCAGCAGACAGGGCTCAGACACCTGCGGGACACCCAGCAGCGGCTGCGGCCTCAGCCTCGTGCGCAGGTCCAGGGGACAGCAGTCCTGGGAGAAGGGCAGGAGCTGGGTCTGAATGGGAACTCAGAATGCTGCTGGGGGTGGGGGTGGGGGTGGGGAACGGGGATTCAAGTTAAGAATATGTCCTTCTGAAGCTCACGCTAGTATTCAAAGAGGCTTTTGTCTCAGGGAAGTCTTCTTCTTAATGCACCGGGGAATGAAGCCACCACCCTTTCAGATTTTTCCAAGAAAGAAAACCAGGCCTCTATCACTGCCGAATGATGGCCAACGTCTGTTTTTTTCCAGAGCCCCGCTCCACAGTCCAGTGGCCAGACACACCACGAGGCACGTCTGAAACAGGCTGGTTTAAAGGCACGTGACCCCGGGTCAGGAGACAGAGATAAAGAGTGTGACTCCGGGCTCTCACCGAGGGCTTGGGTAAGAGCGAGCAGGGACCCGCCCTGCTGACACCGGTCTCCACCACCTGGTTTATCAGGACGGAATTATTTTTGTTTGCAGCCGCACCCACAGCTCCACCTCAAGAAACGACAGGTAGCTGCACTTGAACCCTGCCAAAGGCACACACTCAAAGAGTGCGGGTCTGAAGCCAGACCCATGGGAGCAAAGCTTCTACAGAAACCCGGAGCGGGGGGGATGGGGGGGTCACACGGGAGCCTGGACAGAGGGGGGCGGGGCCACGGGGCCTAAAAGTGCTTCCTTGTCTCCCTGCAGGAAGACCAGTCAGGAAGCTCATGAATGATTTACAGCAAGACTCTTTACAAAAAGGAGCACAGGAACGTTCTGGGTCACTCATCCACAATAAATTAAGAAAACTCAGTCAAAATGCAAAATTCCAGAAGGCTTAAAAGATATATCGGGTGGAGGATTAATAATTTTGACTTTTTGAAAACTTCGCCTACACTCAGACTGCAACTACAGAGATCGGCCCTGTTTGATTAAGGGCTGGCGTTTTCTCAGGGGAGCCCGAGGCTCCTCCTCACCAGCAAAGGAGCAGCTCAGAGCGAGTGCTCGGTTACTGGGAAGGGAACAGCTAGACGCCTTACCTACCAGGTCAGTGTTCCAGACCCACCTCTGTCCACTGCCCCCTCCCCCTCCTTCCCCCCATACAGCAAAGCAGAGTTGCAAGTCAGGTCACTCCTCTGCCAATGATCTTGTTTTAAGAAGGCAGAGTAAGTGATAAAATGACCAGTTAATGTAGCAAACACATGGGAAAGAACTTTGTGTTTGTTGAGTTTTTTCTGAGTTAAACTGTTTTCAATTAACATCATTTTCCAGCTACACTGATTTGGAGACAGGCTTGGAATATTTATCGTTCTTTTACCAGCAGGAACAGTTTCTTGTGCTTATTTCATTAACAAGTGTGAGCCCAAAGTCAATGAACTAATATGAAATAGCAGCAGAAAAACGGGGACCAGCAGGGTGAGCCTGCTTTGCAGAATGTGTTCCCCATCTTAAAATAGCCAATTGCAAGACATAATCTGGGCGCTATCCTAGGCCCCACCTGTAGGACACAGAAGGCACGTCAGCAGTGAGAACAGACCACCTAAGACTACACCTGCTTTCAGTCCATGTGCTCTGATACGGCCGGGCTGCTGCCTGCAGTGCTGCACAACCATACGGTGCAGGCGGTGTGGCCTCCGCAAATACTTATATCTAGCATCTTTCCGATAAGCTGGTGCCTTTGCTGATTGTGAAACATGGTGACCATCACTCTGTCAAGGCCCAAGTCCCTGCTAGTTACAGAGGCTCGCTCACTTCGGTTTAATTTCAGCTCAATTTCTGTCTGTCACTTGGGACTTGCTTAACATATTCTCTGACAAGTTTGGGAGGGGGGCATTTCTGTACCATCAATCTGCATTCGGTAACTTAATGCCACTATTTTGGCCACGGTGCCCATCCATCTGGTAATCTCCCAACCAGAGATTTTCCTGTTTTCCTGAGAGTAAACCTCCAAATACCTCTTAGGTACACAAGAAATAGACCCCCAGATGACGGGACTGGGGACGGGGAACTAGAGATGCAATCATTTCTCAAATAGGTCTCGCCCTCCTTCCTACATGGGCTCCCCCTTCGAGCACAGTTGCAGACGTGTCCACGCCTTTGTGGCAGGTCAGTGGGCATCTTCCTCTACTGCCACTTTGCGCTGTGGCTTTTCCCAGTCTGCTAAGTCAGTTTGTGTGTCTTCATCTATTGTCTAGTTTCCCAAATCGTGTTTCTGTGTCCCCCCTCCTGTCTTCTCTGTCCTTATGAGTTTATGCTTAAAAAAAAAAGTCTTTGCTCTCATTTCAGTGGGTTTGAGGAGAAAGCAGTCTTGGGCAATTATGTTGAATCTGCATTCTGAACATGTAGCCAGAATACATACAGCCAAGATTTCCTAATAAGATATTTAGTCATGGGTTTTCTGAAATAATCTTTAAGGGTTTTAAAAATTATTTTTGTTGTTGTCATTGTTGTTTTAAAGAACATGAGAATCCGAAGAAAGTGAAACACAAATCAGAGATCCTAAACAACTGGCAACAGCTGTGTTTGGAACGTCACAAGAACGTCGGACCTTCTTCAGGTCCAGAACAGACTGTTAGTCGCTTTGCTGGAGAGTGTGGGTCATCTGATGATCGTAGCCAGCAGTGAGGTGTGTTTGCATGTCTGACCAAACTCAGATGTGGTCCAGTTATTCACCCTGACACGGCTGGAAAATGGAAAAGGTCATTAGGATGCTACACATGCAGACATGTCAATGGTGTGAGTTATGAACCTATTACAAGAAAACACCACCTTGATTAACCATTGAGGTGATCCCGTCTCTTAGGAAAATATCACAAAAAGCTGAACTGCTCAATGTAGGAAAGAGAACAGAGGGACTCAGTTCACAGATGGGTTTGGCCTACCCTTGGCCTTTTTCTCTCTGCTGCCATAGGGTGTGGCTCTGCGGCAGGCAGATGCCTGAGATGTCTTCTAAGATTTATGTCCCTTTTATGTCCTTTTCCTGTGTATTCATGTAGGTATGTTATCTCTTTTTTTCTCAGAATTTTTGAATCGCCCTTCTGTTTACACCATAAATACTTCTGAGTGCGTACCTTCAGGCACACACTCGCCTTTGTGTGAAACTGTGGAGGCCCGTAAACTTCAGAGATGCGTGTAAGTAACAGCGCTGGGGACACATTGCTTAAAAGGAGCTTCCGACAAGGTGTGGTAGGGTTTTTATTTTTATTTTATTTTTTAGAGCTGTTTGCAGCTCTTCTTCAAACAGCTCTTTAATCTTTTTTTTTTAAGATTTTACTTATTTATTTTTAGAGAGAAGGGAAGGGAAAGAAAAAAAGAGGGAGAGAAATAGCATTGGTTGCCTCTCTCACTCCCCCAACCAGACACCTGGCCAGAAATTCAGGCATATACCCTGACCGGGAATCAAACCAGCGACTTTTTGCTTTGTGGGAGGACGCCCAACACACTGAGCACACCAGTCAGGGCTTCAGTGGGGTTTTTAGAGGAGAAAAGATTCCTGGGTGGGACGGTGAGGGCAGACTCCTCCGAGGGGGTGCCATGGGGGCTGGGCTTCGAGAACTGAGCAGATTTCTCTTTGGAGAGGATGGAGGCAGAGGAGGGCCATCTAGGTGAGGGAACCATATATATTTCAATATTATGAGACTTCATCCTAACCTTCCCCAGACTCTTAAAATCCGTGCTTTTTTGACTGGAGGGTGAGAGAGAAGAGGGGGAATGATGTGTAGGGTACCAACTGGAAACTAGTAGGTAAATAAGTCCCAGAGAGCCGATGCACTGTACAGTGAATATAAACAGCAATATTGTAGCATTATAACCATCACACTGGCAAAGAGACTCGCTAATTATTTCCACCACCGAAAAAAAAAACGGTAATATGGGACGTGGTAGTGGCGCTACCTGCCCCTACAATGGCAGTCCTGTGGCAATACATCAATGTATCACGTCAATATGTTGTACACCTTAAATTTATACCACGTCATATGTCAAATGTATTTCGGTACAAATAAATAAATAAATAAATAAATGTTGTCTTTCAATAAACATAAAAAGCCACATCCTCATTCAATGTTATCTGAAATCTCAAAATAAACTAAAGAGCAACACTTAAACGCTCGAAGTCATTAAATAAAACAAAGTCATTAAACTAACTCCTACACCTCCTCTCCCCCATCCCGCATTCCCACTCAATTCTGAGTAAAAGAAAAAATGATGTAATGGCGATCCCTTCCCTTTCCCTAAAAGCCAGGGGACTTGACCTAAAGACCTCACCCTCCCTCCCCACATCCCACAGCATCACAAGCAGTTACACACACACACTCACAGCAACGCCACGAAAACGACTGGGAGAGAGGGGCCGGCTCAGCATTGCTTCTGGCAGGAGGAAGAGTTTCAGAGAAATCAATAATCAGAGTTTTCATTTTCTTGCTCACATTTGAGCTGATTTATCCCAAAACTAATAACTTGGCCAGAGCATCCCTATAGATAAGCCTCCTTTCCTCATTAAATATGGGAAGTTTGGAGAGTAAAAATTACACAATGTTTGCTGTAAGAAAAGCAGACATCTTGGAAGAAAGATGCCCAGTGTCACTGCAAGGGTGGAAAGGCCTGTGCTCAAGCCAGACTGCGATGCTCCGGCCAGCCCTGCGGTCAAAGGGACTTTCATGTGACCCGCTGAAAGGCCCCACTGAGACGAGTCCCGGTCACAGAGCAGAGAGAGGCCAACAGAACTTCTTCCTCAACCCAGAGCACGGAAGGCAGGCCCCCAGCGCTACTCCCCTGGAAAAGGCCTTCTGATCACAGAGCTGTCTCCCTGCAGAGTGAAGGGACGGGCCTGAGCCCCACCACCCAGATAAAACCAGGGCCCATGTATGTGTCTACTGGCGAACACAGGGTGCAGATGCCATGGGTCCCATGGGTGAACTCACAAAGAAAACAGGCGATCATGCCATTAATCATGGACTGGAAATCATAAGTCCCATGACAGGTTCAATTTCTTTGACTTTCTTCAGAAGAAGAATAAAGAAAAGGGGTGCCAGATTGGGCTCCCAGCAGCTTTTTAGTCAGAAAGATTGCCAGAGCCATAGATTTAATGTTAGCAATTAAGCTTCATGGGCTAAAGAAATGCACTGGCCTGGCATATTTCCCTGCAACCCCACATTCAGTAATGCTGTAAGTTGGAACTGCATTGCACAAAGGCAGCTGATTCCAACTGTTGTGAGGAAAGTTCGCAAAAGTTCACATTGAACTTGGCAGGCCAGGACAGGGCACTTTGGCAGCTCCACAGATTCTGATTGCAATTCCCCAAACCTGCCCTCAGGATTCCATTCTCCAGAGGATGGGTTGGCAGCTGGAAGGCCCCTGTGATTGATTTATTAGCTCCTCTACCTTCTGTACAAGTTCATAAGGTATTTCTCCCCTGGTATTGTACCAGGGAAGAAAAGACAGTTCTGTGGAAATAGCTCAAGACTCATGTGTTTTGACATTTTCTGCTAACTTGACAAACCTCTCCCCCAATCCCATGATTTTTTGGAGGCTGTATGAGGAAACTCAGGAAGAGCTGGTTTGGAGGATGTAACTGGGTGAGACATCATTTTGGGGTTTGGTTTTGTTTTGTTTTCAAAAAGTTCACATCACCTTTGTCCTCCAGGCCTCAAAACACACTGGAAGGGGGGCCTCCAGAGAGGCGGGAGGCAGGGGGGAGCGGGGAGAGGGCGGGGCCAGGGCACAAGTTCAGGGAGTGGTGCAATCGGTTGCACTGAACAGACGCTGAGTAAATATTTGAGTCTGCAGCCCAGGGTCTGGTCAGTTCTTCCAGGACCTGAGGGCATTTTCTAATCATCGGATCAAAAACTTTGTTGACTCCTCATTTCCAGCAAAGTAAATTCTAAGATTTTCCCACTCTTTGATTCTCATTTAGCTTTCTAGCCTGATCTCTCACTACATCTCCCTCCCTCAATGTTTTCAACATTAACCACCCATACCCACGGTCACCCACAGTGCCCCCCTCCCCACCACTCTGCTCCCTGCCTTCCTGCCCACCAGCAAACACTCCTAACACACACGCATGTGTACAGGCACACACGCTCTTCATTCTGAGCATTTACCGAGAACCTGCAGTGTGCCAGAGGCTGAGCTGAAATTCTCCCAGTAAACCTGTGAGGTAGGTGCTTCCCTCCCCGGTTTTACTGAGATGTAATTGGCACATTGCAGTAGTCGAAGGTGTTCTTCCTAATGATTGGGTATATGTCTATATTGTGAAATGATTACCACAATAAGTTTACTTAACATCCATCACCTCATGTAGTTAGTTATTTTTTCTTGTGATGAGAACTTTTAAAATCTACTCTCTTAGATACTTTCAAATATACAATACAGTATTGTTAGCTATAGTGTCCATGGTCTAGCCCTAGAACTTATTTATCTTACAACAGGAAGTATGTACTGTTGGGGTCGATACTTTAATATTCCCACATTACAGGTGAAGAAACAGCGTCTCAGAGAGGTTGTCTTGCCTGAGGTCACACAGCTGGGAAGGCCGATAGTGATGTGGCTGGAACCCAGGTTCCTGACCCCTGAGTGAGACCACTGCCCTCTGTGCCCTGCCCACACCTCCCACAAATCTGCCTGTTCAAATACAATTTTGTAATCCACTATGCTAAGATGGTTTTTCCACACCTCTCATTGACAACTTACCTCTCCCTGTCCTACATTTCTGTTGTATTTTTATCTAACCTATAGTAGGACACCTAACAAAACCGATGTAAATTTCATATGTACCCGCCTGCCCGAGGATACTGAGCACAGACGAAGGCCAAGGCCTGTCTGAGCCTCCCGCACGGCCCGCCATCACGCCTTACACACAGTGCGTGCTTAGAAATATTTGTTGACTTGACTAGAAGGACGGAATTCCTGAACCTCTCCAACAACGTGAGCATGCCAGCAGGGAACGGGAAAATCTCAGTCGACACCGTGTTTTGTTTTAGGTTTGTCCCTGTCCCCTAGAGTGAGAGCCACCGCAGCTAGTGATGGGCCCCTGACCAGCCCTCATCTGGGGGGAACCTGGGAGGAACCAGAAGAGACTCCCAGGAGCCCAGCAAGCCTTGTTTGGAGACAGAGGGCACATTCCAGAAAGTCTCCGTGTCTTCACTTTGTCTCTCCTCCCCAGCTTTTCCTTTTGGTTTGTTTTGTTTTTATAATCCAGAACATCAGCAAATACATTCCAGAACACCCCCAGTTCCATCAGTAAATGCAGGCTTGGCCGAGGGACAATGTCCTACCCAATGCTCTTGATTCAACCGAGCTCACTGTAATAACAGAAAAACAACCCTAAAAATGACATGCTGGGGAAAAAGCAAACAAATGTAATAACTATAACCAGTAAACACACCTTACGAAGGATGGAAAGCAAATCAGAGGAACAGAGGCAGAGAACTTACATCAAAGGGCTGTGTAGCGTAAAGGCAGTGGTATTTAGGGTTTTGGGAGCTAAAATGAGTTTGAATTCACATCCTACCGCTTTTTAAGCATGTAACCCTGGATGGTGTATTCAGTTTCTTTATGCCTCAGTGTCCTCCTCTAAAACACAGGGAACATCCTAGCTCCAACCTCACACCGCCGTGAACAGGAAATGCGCTATTGCATGCTAAGTGCGGAGGGCAGTCTGGGACACGTAGTAAGTGTTCAATGATGCTGCTATGATTACGGTCACAATCCTACAGGAGCCAGGTCTATGGGATCTCAGAACAGCAGAGGTCTTTGAGGTAGAACCCCTGACTTAAACTCTAGCCCTGCCACTGAACAAGCTGTGTGAACTTGAGTCAGTCCTATCACCGCAGTGAGCTTTAACTTCCTCATCAGCACTTGGACTTGGGTCCCTCAAGTCCTACCCTGCTTCTGGGGAAGAGAAAGGCACTTCCTTGTCGGTCTCCCTCCTCTCTTTCAGTTCTCCATCTGGGCTCCCGGTCCTTCTGCAGTGACATCAGTTGTCCTTCCTGGATAGGGTACAAGTCCCAGGTATAATACCATAACTCTGCGGTCAGTTGTCACAGGATGGGTCCACTCACTTGAAGCAGATTCACCAGCCACTGTCAGAACTGAGTCTACCCAACCACAAAGCATAGTTCCTTCACCTCACTATTCAGGATCCAGGTCGGGGACCTTAGCATGTGCCCCCAGTGGCTCTGGACTTCTTAGATATGACCTAAGCCTGAGAATGTGGCCACCACACAGCTGCCCTCCTTATCAGCAGGATTCTTAGCCCTCACAGTCTCAAACCTCGGGTGTTTCCAGGGTGCGCATGAGGCTCCTGAGAACTTGGCAAACCAGGAGCAGCGTGAATCAAATCTCAAACTAATGTATGAGAAGAGATACTATATATATGAGAAGAGATACGGCAGGAAAAACAAGAAATAAGAAAATAAAAAATAGTAAAGGGGTACTTGCCTTATCTGATAATGGCACACATTACAGATTCACTACATACAAGTCAATCAACAATTGGCAGAGACATAGACAAACAGATCAGAGCAACGAATGAGAATTCAGGAATAGACCCAGCATACACGATAATGGAGTACGCCAAACCCTTGGCTGTACTGTGTGTGAGCATGGACATGACACTGGCAAAATGGATTTTCCTACTGGAAGAAAATGTTATTGTACTGTCTTAAACCACATGTATAACAAAATAAAAAAATTGAATAGACTCTGATATAAAAACAAAATAATAAAAATCTTACAAGTTCATTTAGGAGAATACACAGAATCCTAAGCTTGATACCTACCTTTCAAACTGAGGTTGGAAACCAGAAGAAGCTTGAAAATAAAAGATAAGCTCATTTAACTCTCTAAACATTTTTATACATTTGTGGGCAAGGAAATAAGTGCCATAAATAAAATTAGTAGAAAAATAATAAATCCTGGATAAAATTTATAACATACTGACAGACCAAAATTAACATCCATAACATAAAAAGAGCATTTGTAAGTTGAGCGAAAACAGACAACTCAGAAGAAATATGTAAAGATACCAAATAGACAATTCTGAGATGAGCTAATCCAAATAGCAACATTATCTAAGTTAATTATGATCAGGAAAATGCAACTTTATGTAACAATTAGTTCACTTGGATTATATGCCAAAAGGTGTTTAAATTGAAAATATTAAGTGAGCATGAGACAGAATAAACACTATGAGATTTGAGGAAGAAGTTTCTGTCACACACTGCCTGTAGAAATGTGAATTGTCACAGCCTTTCTGAAACACAATCTGATGATGTCTATTAAAATTTAATAACTATCACATACCCTCCCATCCTTCAATTCCACTCCAGGGACTCTCCCCCATAAATATAAAACCACCAGTAAAAAGAACATCTTTACAAGGATATTTACTGTGGCCTTGTTTGTAGCGGTAAACCTGGAAATAATGCCCGTCGGTAGAGGAATGGCCCGATAAATTATGTATATCCACACAAAAGGAGGTTTTACAACCATTTAAAGGAATAAATTAGAGCTTTATCAGTTGGTTTAGAGGGATCTCCATGAGGCATTATTGAATGAAGAGCATCAGTGTATATAATACAAACCCATTCTTATAGAAATAGTAATAGTAAATCTTCATTCGTATGGTTGCATGTGCATGGAGAAAAGTGTAAAAGCAGGCATCTGGGCTGTGATATGTGGTACTTGGTGGAGGCTGAGTGATAAACAAGGAGAGCGAAGGAGGAGCTTAGGGAAAGAGAATCAAGCACAAAATTGCAAGGAAAAAAGACTATAGGATCTATTCATATTTATGGAAAGTCTTCATGTGCATATGTGCATAAGGAAACTAATACTTTCAATAATTTACAAGTTCAGTTGGGGGTGGGGCAGGCAGAAGGATGGCCTGTGACCAGTTTTGTGTCATCATGAGGAAAAAGTCTGCCTGGTCTGGGATGGTCCTCCTGGTGTGTAGGAAGTAACACCCAGAACTTCTCTGAGTCCAGAGACTCGGAGGGAGGGAGGATTTTGTTTTACATTCACCTCTCCTCTTGTGACTTCCCTCTCCCCAATTCCACTCCCCTGCCCTTCCAGAGTAAAGAAGCAGACATGATGTGAGCATAATAATATCTGTAAGGTAGGTAACGAAGGACCACCATTATCAGCTGTACCTCCTGAAGTATACAAAGCCACCTTAGAAGCTACACGAGACCCCAAGATTAGACCCTGGATTCTGAAGCCAGAAAGCTGGGAGCAAAAGACATGGGAGAGATGGGGAGAGAAGGAGGGAGAGAATAAACTGGAATGACTTCTGTTCTTTCAGGATCCTGGGTCACAGCCATCCTCCTGCTGAAAACAGCTAACTTACTTAACAAAACATTTAACAATGTACCTTTGTTCAGTGTGTCATTGCTCTGGTGAGAAGAGGACTCCTCAGAGGCCAGAAACAAGGTAAAATTGAGAATTTATTATTCCTATTATTATATTATTTTGTGTTAGTTTATTATCTTATTCTTCAATTATAGTTTACATTCACTATTATTCTATATTCATTTCAGATGCATGGCAAAGTGGCTAGAAAATTATGTACTTTAAAGAGTGGCCCCCTGCTTCAAATACACCTGGCCCCATACATGCATGTCACCACACTAGTAACTGTATTCCGGGTCCTGAAATCTACATTTCTGGGACTGTTCTGTAACTTCCCATTTGTACCGCTTAATCTGGTAAGTGACAATTTAGGAAGGCCATCTCCTTTGCCCTTGGAGGCTTAAGCCAAACCCTGGTGTAGCTGAACCTTTGTTTTGACCATGGGAACTCAGAAGACAGGACTCATTTGAGAAAAGATGTGTCAGGAGCCCGCCCGGTAGGTCTGGGATCCCAAAGACCAACACTGTCGTGTTCAGGTACACTAGGAACAAGCCCACCCCACACAAGGGGAGATAATAGTAAGAGCAGAAATCAATAACTTTCCATATAAATAAATGACAGAGGGGGTCAATCAATCCAAAATTTGTTCTTTGAAAGGTGTTGAAAATTTGACAAGCCTCTGGTAATCCCGATTAAAAAGAAAAAGAGCATCATTTAAAAAATCAATTATGATTGAAAAAGTAAACATAACTGCAGTTGCTGCAGATTTTAAAAAATTAGGATATTATAAATAGATTTATGCCCAAAATGATAAGCAAGTAAAACGGGAAAATTCTTAGAAAATGTAAAGTACTGTACCAAAATGTTATCAAGAGAAAAACGAACTAACAATTTTATTACAAATTTAAAAATTAAATCCATAATTTAAAATCTTCCCATAAAGTAAGCATCATTTCAGTCCTAGATAAATTCTTCCACAGAATAGAAAAATAAATAGCCCTTCCTTTGATGAGGCTGCTGTAACCATAGCAACAAGCATGGCCAATCTGGAAACGGCAAACTACAAGACAACTTTACTCGTGAACATGGATACAAAATCCTAAACAAAACATTAGCAAACTGACCCTACCACTAAATAATACAATAGAATGAATAGACCCCACAGACAGACCAAAACAGAAACATATCATGATCATTGATTGTAACAGATGCTGAAAAGCAGTCAATAAAATCCAGCATCCATCATGGTAAGAGAAATTGATTAAACTAGGAAAGAAAAAGCACTGTTATTAAAAACCCACCACAATATAACAGTAAATGATGAGTGTGCAAAACTCAATGGCCAGGAGCACTTCCTTCAAAATTAAGGATAGGACAACTGTCTTCACTGTCATTCCAGAGATCCTGGCTGGCACAAGAAGACAGGGAAGGAAGCACGATAGAGGAGGGATCTTCTGGGGACCCCGCAAACACTGACTGTGTAGAAGTAGATGACTGGCAGGGGAAAACACTTGAAAATACCCTCTGCATGCTGTGCCGATTCAAGTCCTGCCAATTATAAGCCATTTGCACACAGCGTGGCATTTTTGGAGGGACAAAAGGAGGCCCACATGGCCTGCCAATGTTACAGGTAAACTAAGAAATGATACCGGGGGAAGCAAAAGTCTACTAGAAATGATACTGTATCCAGCCTTAGTGAATCACAGCACACAGTAGGACCAAGTCAGCTCTGCAAGTGCGGGGACCATCTAACTCTTATTCTTCACTATCCTCCCGGCAGCCACAGTCTGCCTAGTGTGCAGGTTAGAGCTCAGAAAAGACCTGCTGGACCAACCCACCGAGGTGGAAGACTCCTCCCCAGCCATGTACACCCATTACTTCTGCAGCTAATTTCTAAAGTTGCTAGGCAACAATTTCCAATGACATATCTGTTCTCACAGATACCTGGTCTGATATTTCTAGCATCCCCTCTGTCCAAGCTCACAGGTCTCCGTCAGGGGAGCAGGAGGTTGGAAAAAGAGACCCCTTTGGCCATAAAACAAATACAAGCCTTTTGTGATACACAAGATACTGCAAATAAAACTGCTTTTTAAGTTTTGAAACAGTATGCTTATATCACTGTCTTATTTTTTTTTTAAATCTGCACCCAAGGATATGTTTATTGACTTAAGAGAGACAGAAAGGAATTGGGGGGGGGGAGACAAACATCAACTGGTTGCCTCCTAAAAGCACCCTGACCAGGGATCGAACCCACAACCTAGGCATGTGCCCCAAATGTAACTGAACTCTCAACCTTTTGGTTTATGGGACAACGTCTCAACCAACTGAGCTACCCGATCAGGGCTATTGCTGTCTTATTTTTATAGCAGTATTTATTCCATTTCAGTGTCCACTTCAAAAATAGGACTTCCCCTTACTCCTTCCAAGCCAGTTTTTATCTTTCATCTAAACAAATACTTGCAATTTCTAAAGTTTCTCAATTTTGATAGTCCCCAGACTCTGGACTAAGCAAGACTTTCTGTAAAAATTAGGTTCTCCACTGAGGGGGATTTTGGTACTTCTGACAGCTTAAAGTCTGCAGCAACTTGAATTTCCTTCCTCTTTCTCTTCCACATTCTGCTTCCTCGACTTTTGTGTTTGGGGAAATTTTTTCCTCTCCCTGAGTTTTAAGTCATAGCCTCTCACTGTTAAAAAAAAAATCTTACCTTTCTCACCACTACCTTCCCGTTCCCCTTTAGGTTCCTACTTCCCAAGAGTCTTCGTGGCATGCCAAGGATAATGCTGGAGACACGCTAGGCTGGGGTCAGGAGACCGTGGTTTGCTGGTAGCCTCTCATCCGGGTGTGGAGAAAAGAGGCTGGGTTGGGGACGAAAGGGTCCAGGTGACAGTGCTAGCTCTGGAACGTACCAACTTATTTTATCTTGGGTGAGACGTATCCCTCCTGTGGGTGTCGGTTTCCTCAGAGGTAGAGGCAGTGCGGGTCGACAGCAGGGACTCCAGAGCCAGGAAGCAGAGGACAGGGAAGGACTCTGACAGAAGGCGTGAGCACACAAGCCCCCTGCAGCAGGAGCGGCGGCCGCTCCACTGCCGTAGGAGGCGAGCTCCGTGCTGCCGGTCCTCTGGTTTTTCAGAGAGCCCTGAAATGGGGATTTTCACGTGAACTCTGTGGATGACTGTTTGCTCAAAATCTGGTAAACCATAGTGGGTCTTTTTTTGAGTAACCCCTTAGAGTCTCTTTTCTGTTTCCTGTTGCATGAGCCTAAGAATGTGCCTGGTGGTATTGCCCTTCCACAAGCCTCCCTCCAGGTCTCTGGGATGTTCTTGGAGCTCTGTATTGCAGTGCCTCCACCTTTGAGGCTTTGCTGCAGACCTGGGAGGTAACTACCTCATCCTCAGGGGAGAAACATGATGGAGCTGGGGTTTCCTCACAGGGAAAGGATTCTTCAAATTCTGGTTTCTTGGCTTAGAGGAAGCAAAAGGGGGAGCTGGCTGTGGAAAGTTCTGCCTCTAGACCAGACTTCACCTCTGGGAGCAGGGAAAGGGGACGGCTGGGCAGGTGTCTAGGTGAGCCCCCTCCAGCCAGCAGGCCCACTGTCAGAGGTGGAGTGTGCCTCTTGCTCCCTTGTCTGAACTGGGAGGATTTCTGGAGCATGAGCTTCCCCACCATGCCATTCGCCTTCTTAGGTGTTGGGATTCTCGGTCTTTCCTTACTGCTTTTTCTCACCCGTCTCTGATGCTGCCCAGACTGTTCTGAACCAGGCAGCTCACCACCGGGAAACCAGCATCTGGTAGGTCTGACCGGCCCCAATTCCTCGATCCCTCGCAGACACGGTTCCCGAGGCCCACACAAGCTGCGCTCTGGCCAACATCGCTCAGCTAGTTCTGCTCTGTCCACCCTCACGTCGGCCCACCTGCAAACACCGACTGACTTTCTGAATCTCAGATCTCTCCAGAGCTACCACATGTCAGGAGATAATAGCACAAAGTGGCGAAAAGCCCAAACGTTAAAATACAGAAATACCTGGGTTTGAAAAACTAAGAGCAAAAAACCTTACAGCTGCCACTTACTGACTCGGTGATCTCAGTCCAGGTCCTGAAAGTCTCTGAGGCTCAATTGTGGGGATAAAATAATGCATGCCTGTGATGGTTCCTTTTACGTGTTAACTTGGCTGGGCCCCGGTGCCCAGACATGTGGTCAGACATCATTCTGGATGTTTCTGAGAGGGTTTTTTTTAGAAATATGAGATTAATATTTAACTCGGTAGACCCGGAGTAAAGAAGGTTGCCCTCCATAACGTGGGCGGGCCTCACCCAGTCAGATGAAGGCCTGGACAGAACGAAAAGGCTGCGCCCGCCCGAGCAGCAGCCACTGCCAGCACACAGCCTTCCAGCTCAACTGCAACAGCAAGTCTCGCGAGTCCCCAGCCCACAGGCCGCCCTGCGGATTTTGGACTTGCCGGCTTCCGTAATCCCAGGAGCCAATTCCTTAAAATCTCAGTATGTCTCTTTCTCCCTTTCTCTCTCCCCCTGTATAATATAGATATGTTCTATGTGTTTTATACACACACACACATATATATCTGTTTAGATGTATAAATAGTGGATACAGATATGCTCTATGCGTTAAGTATATAGAGATATCTAGTTATATCTCTATATATTAGATATCTATTTATATCTATATAGATATACACATACACACATTTTCTATTGGTTCTGTTTCTCTCGAGAACCTGATTGGGTCCTTGGGAGGACTACATGAGATAAGGTTTGTAGAAGACCAATCACATAGCTCCTGATATGAACAGATCTCTCAGTAAATGATAAAAAGGGGCAACGATTCAGCTGGCTCCATCTGTTCCCTCCTGCTCTCCACCCCCAGGCAGCCCAGCACCCCCAGACTCTGCCTAGCTCTGTCCCACCCCCGTGTGGCTGTCTCCTGGGCCCCTTGCAGGACTTGGGTTTGGGCGGGAGGAGGACGGAATGGCATGCCGCCCTGTCCACAGCACTCAGGGCAAAGTCAGCTGCTTCAGAGCCATGGGTTCAGGGGTCACTGCGGGGTGCCTTCAGGTTTGGGGGCTGTGATGGTCACCCTTAGTCCCTTCTGAAATTGGGAAAGCCCCAGGTCAGCCTACTCAAAGGCCACAGGAGTTAGACTAACCAAGGCAGAGGGGACACGGAACAAGAGGTCCGATTCCTAAGCCCTCTCCCGGTGGACTCCCTGAGGGGGCAACATCGGGCCAACAGCAAGAAAACAGCGTGCACTACACCGACTGAGCCCAAGAGGAAGCAAGGATGACGGAATACACGTTCTGAAAAGCGAGCCCTTGTGCATACTAATGCCCTTCATGTACTTACAGTCCAGAAACCTGGCCCTGCTGGAGGTCCAGCCAGACCTAACACAGCCTCCTGCACCCTGCAGCCTCCCTCTCTCGGCCTCAGGCCCATTGTGAGTGGAAGGGTCTCTGGAAACTTCCTGCCCGTCTCCAGGCAGGCTGCTGATAGGCAGCGGCAGCTACAGGCTTCTGCCTGGTTGCTTTTTGCTTGGATGGCCTATGCCCGTGCAAACAGACCTGGTGCTCGGAAGCCCGGCCTGCCCCGCATCTCCATCCCAGGCCGCCGAATTGTTTTGTTTCCTGTGCTCCCAAAATTCCTTGTCATAATATTATCTCACGTTCCCAGGGCCGCTGGTCGGCAGGCAGGGGGATGTAGCAGGATCACTTGGCACCAGGCGAATGGTTTTGTCTAACTTCTAATCACAGCACCCACGGTAGCTACTTAGCAAGTCAGGAGCAGCTGTCACAGGAATGCAAGACCTGACTTTAGACGGGGTGGGTGTTTTCCCCAGAGGCGGCCCCATATTGAAATTGATTTGTTAGGAGTCCTGTAAGCCCAGCAAGGAATCGGGGTGTGGGGTGTGTGTGGAATCCTGAACCTCCCTTTCACCTGGGTTTCAGAGGTCAAGCCAGTGCACTACCAGAACCCAAAGAGCACAGGGCCACCGCCCGGCCCCACCTGACACCTCCCTCCTCCCATGGGCAAGCTGCCCACGCTGCTGGGCCCATACAGGGACCCGGGGACGTTTCTCCCATCTGTCATTACGGACTTGCACCCTCGCGGTGGCGGTCACGCACACAGCCAAACGGAGGCGAAGTCAATATTCCTTGCTCCATTGCAGACCTCTCTCATTCTAAGATTTAATAAACATTAAAACAGGAAAAATGGCTAATGGTGATTATAAAATATCATTCATTGAAAGACACAGGCTTATTTCAGAAATGTTAAAAGATGAGGGCGGGTATCTAAAATGGGTAAAATGCAATATGGTGGACCTGGTAGTATTTTAGAAGCTAAAGTATTTGTTTGGGATACAAGGCATATGTACTAATAATGTTGATGGCTACAAGGACACAGTAGTGTTACATTTTCATTTATATTTTATACTTTATCCTATGGTGTACACTTTATCCTATATGTGGAAAGACTTCATACTCAGATTGCATTCTTTATCCATCTGAGAGAAATCCTGAAGTTGCCAACCTGATGTCCCTCCTCTCTTTGGGAAGAAGTCTTCCTCGCTAAGAGAGAAGCTAAGTTAGTCTACAGGATGAGAGAGGGGAGGGTGTGGAGAAGAGGAGAAACAAAGGAAATCATGGTCATGATCATGCAGCCACCACAGCCTCCGGACCCTGAAGGTGAGCTGCGGTTTATGAGGCCGTCCCATGATCCAGGTGCCGTGTCGGTGTTCACCTACGTCATCTCACGTAGTCTGTCCTCATTGCTCCCCCTAAGATTCACGCCACTCGTCTCCCCTCCTGCAGAAAAAGAAACAGAGGCTCTCCCAAGGGTGCACAACCAATTAGCAGGACCCCTAAACTCCCTCTTTTCCCACCATGCCACTGGCACCCCTGAATCAGACCAGTAGAGTACAGCTTTACAAGAACAGGGGGTCAAGTTCACGTTATTGCTCTGTTTCAGCAGGACGAGCTTCCTGATCACCTGGAAGAGGCCAGGCTGGGGGCAGGGGACAGGGGGAACATTGCGTTTGTC